TATAGAATTCATACCTTTCCGTGGTGTCCCATTTTATGAAATTAAAACATGATGCATACACATTTTTTATTTTCTTCAAAACCTTAATCCTGCTTAAACTGAACACGATGCCTTACAGTGTGTGTCAGCAAAAACTAAAGAGAAAAAATGACGTGATGTTGATTGCATAAGTATTCAAACCCATAAACTTAAAAATTGGTGGAAGCACCTTTGGTAGCCATTACAGCTGCAAATCTATTTTATGAAGCCACCAGCACTTTGTTCCATCACTCCAGCTCCTTTTCATCAGTCTTGATGAGCTTCCCAGTCCCTTCTGATGACCAACAAAACTATAACATATTGCTGCCACCATCATGCTCGACAGTAGGGATTGTGTTGAATAAGTGATGCACTTTACTGAGCTTGTGTCAGATGTGACACTTTTCCTTTTAGACCAGAAAGTTCTAATTTTATCTTCTCTGACCACAAAACCTTTTGCCACATGTTTACAGGATTACCTACTGTAGGTGCTTAGTTGCCATGTTGAATTCAAGTTGTTGTTTTTTTTTTCAGTTTTATGCAAAACCCCTTTGTAGAGTGGCTGGGATATTGTTGACCCATATGGACATTTTCTCCCGTCTTGGCCACTGAACTTTATTACTCTTTCAAAGTTGCCGTTGGCCTCATGGTGGCATCCCTCACCAGTTTCCTCCTAATCTGGCTGCTCAGTTTGAAAGGACAGCCTGATCTAACCAGTGTCTCAGTGTCTTTCACTTATCATCATCAGCTTAATGATTGACTTAATGACCATGCTCAAAGAGATATTAAGGGTCTTTGAAATGTGTGTATACCCTTGTCCAGATTTATGACCTTAACTTTATCCCTGTGTTATTTTAAAAGTCTTTTAGTCCATATGCCTAAATCTTTGCCTGAAATTCACTGAGGAATATTACAGATATGGTGTACAATAGGTAGTGAATATTTATTCTGATATCACATGAACCACTATTATCGCACACAGACAGAGGTCGTTCAACTAATTGTGTAATAGTTTTGCAAGCCATATACTGTATATGTACAGGTATGTCTGAATCTATATGGTCATACAAGAAAAGATACATCCACACACTTAATGTATTGCCAAGGGTTCATGAGCTTTGAAGGTGATTTTACTTTGCTTCAGTCCCGAGAATGGAATAACATGATAATAAACAGAAACTCAGAAACATTTGACTTTTTGTACCTAGGAGGTAACAAGGTGTGCAAAAAGGAGACTGTGTTCTCAGATTGCAAGCAGATAACAACTTTACTTAACAATTAACAGATTAAGCAGCAGTGCATGATTGTATTTCTACATTATATACCATAAGACACATAATTATATACAGGTGTATGTGAAAATGATCTCACTTCAATGTCCTGAAGCTTTTCACTGAATATACTTATCAGACATTACATAGAAAAATATTCACTGAAGATGCTTTGAATTATTTTGTGACTCTGCAATTACACACTTTACAATCGTACAGTAAGTGATCTAAGGGATACAAATGTTGCCCTCATTTATGTAATTTTGATTCCATGTTCAATTTAAATTAGTGCAATCCTCTGACATTTTTTCCAGATAAAACAAACCAGTTTTACAGAGTAATTGCAGTGTGTCACCTGTATGGTTAGTTGTTTTCTTTCTTGTCTGTATGACAAGTCTTGATAGTCTAGAAATTGTATTTTTATAAGTGTAAGAGGAATCCTGAATATCCCAAGAATTGTAGTTAGTTTTACAGTATTTTAGAAAAATATGGTGAAAATGAAGAAAAAAGCAGAATATGAGATATTCTTTGGAATGATATTACTACTAGTACATTTCTTTCCTACGGTAAGACTCAGGCAATACAGCAATTTCATCTTACAATTGGTTTACTAAGTTGAAAAACACTTGAAATTATTTTCTGTAGTCTGTTGGGACACCATTAACAGTGTTTGGTATTGATTTCATAGATCTGCAGCAGTATACTAGATAGGGCAATATAAATGTTTTGAACCTGACAACACCAAAAAAGTTTTGCTCATCTTAAAGAGTTCTGTACACTCTGGGTTACAATATATTGCTTAAAATGACAAGAAAATGAATCGGTCCTTGATCAAAAGTAAAATTTACAATTGCATTTCATGTGGGGTTTTCATTCACACTTGTCATTGACATGTAATGTAATTTTTATACTTGTATTTGTTGGCAGCCCATAACAGGGACACAGGTTCTAGGATGGGTCCCAAGCACCGACATACCCCACACACAAGATTTAAATGAAATTATTATTATTTACAATAGGGTTGCGCTATGGCAGAAAAAAATGGTTCTTCAAGCAGGTTCCTGGGGAGAAAAATAAGCAGCAACTGTTATAGCTGCCTAGCTGGGAAAATAACCCACCACTGTGGGTTTTCCAGCTCTAATGCTAGAAAACATAAACAGCTTGCTCTATGGTAGAAAACTGGTTAACTAGCGGCAGGTCTTCAGCCTAACCTGAAACTGTAGCAGTAAAACAAGTAAAACCTTCAGCCAGGGGACATATTCAGCTTGGGTTGTAGTGACCTGAAGGAGTTAGATTTCTGCTCCTTGTCATCACCATCTCTTCCTTCAGCGCTCTACTTATTCTGACTGGAGCAGTGTCTGAAGAAGATGCCTACTCCAGTGATTGCTGGTAATCTGTGCCCTGCATGTCAGTATTCTAGGTAGGGGGAAGCTTAAAAAAGCCAAAGAGACCACAGGTAAAAATCACAACTTTGAAGGCGCGTCCCTATGCGGCATCATATCAGGAATATACTGTAAATGAGGAGTTACTGGTAGATCCAAAATTTAAGAATCATGCCAAGGTACTTCCTAAAGAATCTAAGGGAATCTGTTTTAGCTACATAGATGGGAAGTTTGTTTCAGTCACCCACTGAAACAAGTGTTTCTTTTTTCACTCCTAAATAAGATTAAAGTAGTCAGATGTTTAAAAGTGGTGTGGCATTGTTGGAAATTTAATTGTTGTGGATCGTTTTGCATTTGTACTATGTTGTGGGTTGCATTCAGACTAGAATACAGTATCTCAAAATAGAGTACTCTCATTTAAATCAGATTTGCATATCTAGTGTGCTATATACCTGTTCATATCTGTCTAGGGATGGATATCATCATTTAGAGATGCAATGTTTATTCACTGTACACTAAAAATTAAAAATAGCCTGCACTGGCGCAGAGCAGTATGATCAAAAATTCTAAAAATAATCAAATGCTACACAGTTATGGTTCCTATAGTGTAAAGTGAACCCTGTAGGATCTTATTTGGTTTATTTAAAGCGTGATATATGTCAATTTCCACTAAAGCACGTAGAATTGTGGATATATATTTTTTTTAATTTCATGAAGTAGCAGGACCTTCTGAAGTTGACATATTTGGATTCTTATTATGTTTGGGCCTATATGTCCATTCCATTAAGCATTCAAAGGCCTTTGAATTTTAGGAGCAAGGTAAGACTAAGACTGGCTGGAAATACTTAAATGGAAGGGAAAGCTCAGTAAGGCACATTTCCATGGAACTCAGCTAGCCTTTTTTAGGAGAGAAATTATTTTATCTGAAACTAACCCTGCAATTCCTTTGGTCATCATTTTGTTGAATCATACTGTATATTGCAAATATACTATATATTGTGGTGTGGAAAAATCAGCAATAGTAAATGTACAGTATATAGTGAAATGTGTTTAATGAATCTCTATCATTAAAGCAATACAAAAGTAATTAGAAAAAAAAACAAACAGTTAAGAGTTTTAGAGGAAATATCTGAAAAGAAGAAAGTTAAGATTAGCACTGTCATTGTGGGCAGATTTAACATAGAGACATTTTCTTCTTCCAAGTTTGTCACAGTTTATTTCTGAATGATTCAGGGAGGGGCACTGAGCAATGAGAGCTGGACAGCTCACCTCCCCAGTCTCTCCTTCCTGCCGCTGAGCTTGGTTTTGAGATCTGATGTCCTGGTTCTTCTTTTAGACTTTGTTTTCCACATTAAAATCTGGTAGCTTAGCAAGGCTTCATTCAAAAGGTGATTCTTCTGTGCTGCTGTTGAGAGATAGAGAAAATCACATGAAACCAGGAAGATCACAAATGAAAAGATAAAATGTTAGAGAAGTTGGACAGTTCACGCCTCAACAAGGGTGACATTATCCATGTAGGTTTAATTTTTAAAATATTTATTGGAAATTAAACTTTTCTTTTTGTGCTTTGATGAAAATCCCTTCTGAAGAGTCACATTCATACTGTGGACTGTTTTGATGATAAGCCAAAGCTCTGATTGCATTGATTGATTGAGTCGCAAACTCTGTGGTTGTGTGCCTCAAATTATGTGGCGAACTTAAAATGTTAAATGTGCCCTTATTTGACACAAATGCTGTATTTTGAGCATGCAGTTCTGAAATAAAATATATACTTAGAAATTTCAAAAAAGATATCATTAAGGGGACAAAACTCAATTGGAAGTTGTTTATTTGATCAACAATCCAAAAGCAAAAACTGTAAACATTTTAGACCTTAACTTCCATTTTGAAGATAGTATATTAAGATACAGTACCTATTGATCTTTCTCAACCTGCTAGTCCTTTGCTGTCCCACTATGGGATAAGTCGAATACAGTCCACTGAAAAACAGCACACCACAATTTAAATTTATGTTTGAAATGTTAGTTAATGAATCACTTAAATTATTAATGTAACCATAATTTCTATTTGAGAGAGAGGATTTCTTGGTGGGTCAGTTTCCAGTGGGTTAATCCTATATTATTTTCTATATTCTGTGGGATGTGACTGTTAAATGAGTATCCAATAAACAAATTTGGACAAAGAAGAATGTATATAAACAAAAACTTTTTTTCTGGGGGTAAGTACCAGCAAATTCAACCCTTTGCAAATTTGACAAGTACAGAAATAATTCTGATTATTGTGCTCACAAGAGCTGAAAGTGAATTGTGCTTCTGTGATTTGTTTGCAGCTCGTCGATAAGAAATTCCTCTTCCGGTTCCTCTGCCCCTGCAAAGGTGTGTTTGGTCTGTGGGGATGAAGCATCCGGATGCCATTATGGGGTCGTTACTTGTGGCAGCTGCAAGGTTTTCTTCAAAAGAGCTGTGGAAGGTAATGTTTCCATTTTTGTCAAACTTAAAGTATGCGTTGTAATAAAAGGGCTGGGCTGGTGGCTTCTTGTGTTGGATTCTTGATGACTTAATACATGTATACTGTACTTAACATATGAAAAGGTATAGATAGCATTGATGTAGTGTAACAATATACTGTAAAAAGGCACAGAGGTGGCTTGTGAAAAACTATAGGCAACATTGAACAAAAAGCCAGGGTAATGTTGGAAAACACAGGGAAATTTTTACTGCCCACTGCAAATTTATTTGCCATTTAAAACTGTATAATTTGTAAAAATAACAGTTTACAGTACATTTACATCATTCATGTGTAATACATATTTGTAAACTGTAGTTATTAATCATTTTTAACTGTAATTTCCAATCACTTTTTATTTTGTGCTTTCCAGTTTTTGGAATGGCCACTGATCACCATGCCTGCTCTTGCTGCTACTGTATGAATGAGCCTTGTAGCTTACATGAGCCATAAAAACTCTGTGCACCATTTTCCTACAAAGGGTGTGCTGTCCAAACCATCTACTTCTTATTCTCAAAGTGATACCACAGTGCCCACAGCAGAGTTTTCATTGAATGGAAAAGTGATACAGCTCCCAGCACTGTGGGCTCACAGCCACCAGGCAAGGGGTTGCCGTTATACTGCACGCCAAGGACAACTCCAACCCACCCGCCCCCAGTGGCTGTCAGCCAGCTGATCCATAATAAGAGTGCATTAGTATGGTGAATGTGCTTTGACCACAAGTAGCTTTCATTCTTAAACAGGAGCTAAGGTCCTTAATATCTTTTTAATCTGCAGCGTACATTTTATTTTAGTAACTCTGTGTCTTTACTCAGCTGGGACAGAACAGCTTGCTGTTTGCTATGTTTTTTTTCCGTTGCAACACAAGCACTTTTAATTTGCTTTTTTTTCCCTTTGGTTGCTACTCCAAACTTGAAAAAAAAAAACATTGCTCAGAAATCCTCAATAACAAGATTGTTCATGACCAGAAAGCTGAAATAACCAACTTCCTTTTTAGGGACAGAAATAGACCATCTTGAACCAAAACCATCCAATGAAGCGCAGGAATGGATTTCATATGGGAGTGTAAACTTTACAAGTTTCCCCTTGCCTCAGTAATATTTTAGCATATGCAAATCTTAAGTTTTCTGGAAAAAATATTTTTCCTGTTTTTTTTTAGTAATATAGTAGCAGCTCGTGAAATATGTTTCAACCTGCTGTTGCGTTTACTTTCGTACAGAAAGAAAGCTTTGTTCAGTTCCTTTCATACCCAGTAAAACTGTGGTATAAACTGATATATTTGCAGCGTGTGTATCACTTGAAAGAAGATACTAATTGCAGTGCTAATGTGCCAGAGTATCATATGCACTCATAAGTTATGCATATTAAATAAGAGTGTTGATGTTTTGTAGCATTGGGAAGAAAACTACAGTCCACAAGTCAGAAAGGGATATGACATATAGTATTGGTGTGAGCCCTGTCCTGTAGTGTAAAATACTTGTACAGTACATACTGTAACTCTGCCATGTTTAGTTACTGCAGTGGGTGCTGATAGTCCATTACAGATTCTTGTACAAAGACGTCTTCGTGGATTGTTCTGAGCCCTGCGTCCATCTCATCCCAAATGCATCTTGATAACCTTGTTTTCTGAAGCTTGTAATCAGTTCAAAAGCACTGCTATTACACCTACTGTAAGTGCTCCTGATGAAATTCTAGGTGCTCCTGGTGAAGCAAAACAAAGCAAGCTGTTAGTTATGGTTTTTATTTATTGCCCCCAACATAAGAAAAACACACGTTTGGAGCCACTGAGAAACAAATATGAAGAAAAACATTACTAGGAGGGGGTGTGGAGGGAAATTATGAAAAACCAGCTTTGCAGCACTAAACAAGCAGAACTAATAGAACTGTGCCATGATGTTCTGTGGGCAATTTTTGTGTTGTCTAAAACAGGTAGTGTCAATCCTACATCTGCAATAGCACCATGAAGGCTTTAATAACAATAATATCATGAAAACGATGCTGATCAGACCTCATTCCTTAACGTTTGAGACTACAGTGAAATTAATTTACCCCATGAATGACGTACAGTAGATTGCCATCACTTTTAATATTAATCTAGGTGATTCTTTGTATATTTTATTTAAAAAAGAAAAAATATCTATCTCAAATTGTAAGTACAGATCAGTATATAATATGATACTGTGTATGCATTTTTTCACCCCTGACATTGCAATAACAGGAGTGCAGTGCTTAAATGTCCGGCCTAGAGGATCCCATTTGTATTCTGCAGGCTGTACAGTAGCAGTGATTTGTGTAGTCAACTTTATTACCTCACCTGACCCCAGTACAGCAGGGAGCTTTGCTTCTCAAGGAGATGAGTCAGCAGTGAGACGCTGTAAAAGCATCCAAGGTATATTAGGAAACTGCCTGCTACCCTCACAATATGAAAACCCAGTGTGGAGTCAAGGAGATTAAACTGCAGCATACAGACACAGAAACAACAAGGGATTAATACAACTTTTGCATAGACGTTGTTGGCTCTGTAATCCTTTGGGAAACTAATGTTACCTCAGAAGCAGTAGAGCATGTGAGTTTTTTCATAAGTTGGAAAAGCTGAGCTTTTTTCTTTCCTTTAGAAATGTAACAATAAGTAAATTTTTAAGGCTTTTAGTTATCACCAATTGGACAATGCAGGGCAGAAAGGAATCCCACTCTTTTCTGTCGTGGAATGGATCATTTGGGATAGCCCATTAGAGCCCAGTACCATCGTGTGTTTAGGAGGTGGAGAGGACCTGGATAACTCATCAACGCCTTGATAGGAACACAGGGAGAGCATATAAACTCCAAAGAAAGCACCCCAGCTTAAATTCCAACCTATGCTCCTAAAGTGTTAGATGGCAACACTAAATACCTCTGTATCTCTCCAAAGACCAAAGATCCTTTCTCCACTTCAAAATATTCATATTCTACAAAAAGTGGTGAACTGAACTCCTCATCTGAGAGTTAATTAGTATGATCACATTTTGGAAACTGTTGCTCAGGTTCAAACTGCCTGTGACAGATCACCTGGCACTCGTACACGTATACACATAGACATACGCAAACATTTCACTTTCTAAACAAAGGCGATAAATGTGGTTTCAAATGTAAACAGACTTTACCTAGTCTGGAATTCTGGGATAGCTTTGCTTGCTCTGTGGGTGTACGCACAGAGTAAAGTAAGGTTGTTCATGTATGGTCAGAACTAAACATTAACTCAAACCAAACACCTGCTTTTCTTTGTTTTATAAGCCAAATGAACTAAATTAGTGTTTAACTTGTGTGTTTCAAATAAATACCTTGTTTTGATTTCTCACCAGCAAAATGGTTTCTCCCACAACATGTAAGACCCAAACCTTGACATGGCAACAGGGGCTGGCTTAGTAGCCAGGGTTGCACATGGGTGGATCGATTAGTATTTTCTTTAAAATATTTATGTACAGTAGTAATGAATGACATTTTATTTTTGTTAATAATATGTTAATTGTTTAATTGTGTATTTACTGGAGAAAGGCGTGTATCAGAATTATTATTTTGTAGAATTCTTTTTTGCTTTATAGTGGAATATTCTATGGGGAGGAGTATAATTTAGAAAATTAGTTCTTCGAGATAGTAGGAGGTTGGTAGAAGTGTAGAACAGGAGCTGCCTACAACAAACTCTTTTTTAAATCAATATATATATATATTCTTGTATTATAGTTTTGTGTTCCCCCCACACACTTTGGTTAGTTTGGGTTTTTCACAGTGGTTTTTGTTGGGTGTAGACTTTGAGGACACAGTTCCTCATAATAAACACCATTGCACATCTTTGCAATTGTATCTGTGCCATCACTATTGCTGCAGATGCCGTGTAAACTTTCAAAGACTGAGACTGACACTGCCTTATACGTTATTTTACCTCAATTTTTTTTTTCAAAAAATCGTTTTTCTTCAGCTCTGTTGTTTGTTGTCTCTTGATAAACTTGTCATTGAACTTTCACAATGTTTGGCAAGGAAAAGCAAACTATGTTCCAGATTATAAGAACTATAAAATTTAAATATTATGTTATGCATTACTTAGTTATCATGAATATGTTTTGATTAAACTAATATTCCTAATAAATGATTGGGTTTAAATAACTGCAGACATGATCATTTTGATTTGGCTAAGTACTGTATATTGTTTCTAGCACCCTATAATATTGTCCTAAAAAGAACATTATTTACTGTTTATCTGACTTTTTTTTATTCTGCATTTTTGGCTTTTGAAAATTAGTCTCTTTTTAAATATATATGAGGATACTTCCCTTTTCATTACTGAAGATAAAGAATGAGTACAAGTTATTTTTCTGGAAAAAATCATGAAATACTGAATCATTTTAAGCTTTTTTTGTAGATGCCTTGCTCTGTTGCTCAATCACAGCAATGGTAATGCATTTTAGTCAATTGGTCCATGTGTCAAGCAGCCCTAGCAAGGGACTGAAGTAGCAGCCACGCTGCCCCTAGAGACTGCCCAAAGGTTTCTAACCACTGTAAATAGGCTCATTGGGTGTTAATTAGGTAATTGTTAAATTATTGGTGAAGGCTTACTGTCCAGAATGGGTTTAACTGGTTGTGCATTTGTTAAAAAAAATGGCTTGCATGATGATAGAGGTGGTTGGGTTGGTAGCAGTTTGAAAAGACAGATTTAGAGCATGATGGAAAAGTGAAGAATGCCTTTAGAGACTTTTTGTTGGAAAACTGGCTTTAAAGGTGAAATAAAGCTCCCTGCACCTTACTGTGGCCACTGTTGGGGGCTTATATAGATTGTGCATAGATCCCTGGAAACAAACTAGCTAAGGGCTGGGTCAGCCACAGAGTTTTGGTCTTTTTTCTCTTCATCAATGAAAGAACTGTGCCTCAAGGAATAATCAGTGTTGGGACATGTTGACAACATTTTGATGTTTAAAACCACTAAATACATGCAA